AAGACGGAACGCTGCCAATATCAACCTGTAGCTAAAAAGTTTTATGTGTAAATTGACTCAGTATTCCCATTTAACTCTGTCCAAGAAAATTTTAGAGGTTCAAATATATAGTATGGGGTTGAAGTGCTAATAGTTGACCAGTTAAGCGCTTTTTATTACTATGAGCTGTACAGCTGACTTGGTTTATTACTTACTTCAAATTTAAATATAGTAAATCATTGTTTAACCTTTAGTGTGTTTATAAGTACGTGGCGGCGCTGTCGTCGCGCCACAAGCGGAATACACCGAAGCCTAAATCACGCTATCAACATTCCGAATCATAAACAGTATATATAGAACATCTCCGAACAATCACACGGAGTGTCAGCCACTCCCCGGGCAGAACACCTTGCCCGGCGGGAGATCTCCCCTTTTCCTACCACGGCCACAGTGGTGTTCCCGACGTGATCTGAACACGCAACCAAACAACCTTCGGAAACTTCAAACTTCATCATCGTCATAGAATACCCCACCCATTCGCTCTCGAGCAGAAATCGTCTGCAGTCTTCACATCCTGCAAGCCATCTAGCTTCAAAAGGTTCATCGCAGCACTGGAATAATAATGCTTCCTGTTCCTTCAAGCTACTCTCTAGGCCATACAGTGTTCGGCACGACTCTGAGCCTTACTGCTCGCCTCTGCTTCACGGCACTCTCGCAGATTACTTGCCTTCTTCTCGACTCACCGCAGACTACAAGGCAATTCCCTGGCAACTTGCATGATACTGCATTATCGACCTCCGGTCTGAGCAGGAGAGTGATATGGCGGGGCTGTCGTCGCACCACAAGCGAAATACATCGAAGCCTAAATCGCGCAATCAAAATTCCAAAGCAAAAACAGTATATATAGAATATCTCCGAACTATCACACGGAGTGTCAGCCACTCCCCGGGCAGAACACCTTGCCCGGCGGGAGATCTCCCCTTTTCCCACCACGGCCACAGATATAAAGATTATTTTTTTACTAAAAGCATTTATCAGAATATCAAGTCATAAAATAAAGTATGTATATATGCGCCACTAGTTGACCAGCAAACTCCAATGCCTGACCGCCAATGTACCATTAGTTGACCATATAGAAACATGTAAGTAAAACGAAATTCACAAAGAAAATAATATTTAATAGTTAAAGTTTTAATTAATAAAAGCTTTGAAAAAAAGATCAACAAAACCTAACATATTTTAAACAGTAAATGGTAGGTATTTTTCAATTTCCTTTACTACATAAAAACCTCTTTTATTAGAGAGCACAGGGGCATTTATTACTTCCACTACATCTTTTTGATGATACTAGATTTTATCAGGCTTCTCTGGCCATTTAAACGTATTTCCCGTAGAAAAAGTGCTTACTTCAAATAAATCTTTTTCAACATTTTCAATAAGCCCTGGAAAATATTCTCCCTCATATGTAATAATTACATGATTTCCTTTACATATTCCTTTTTTCTTAACTGATAAAACACTTAAGATTTCGTCTTCGGATTTATTTGGATTTCTCTATTCGTTTGTTTTCATTTTCTTTATTTATTATTATATCAGTTGTGTTACCGTCTGACTCACTATCACTCCGTATAATGAGTTTGTTTTGTTTCTTTTTTAATTTTATGCCTTGGACTTCACATTTTTTTCTCTCTACTGAGTCACTGGAGAGTGAACGAATTGGTTTCTTTACTTTACTTTTGCTTGTTTTCTTCTCATCTCGCTTTCTTTTTCTGTTTTCTATATCTTCTAACTTCTTTTGCTTTTCTTCTTTTTTTTTCAAAGTAATCAATGAAATATTTTGATGTCACCGCAAGTGGCAGGTGTTCTTTTGTAAAGATAAACTTTATTGGAGAGTCTGATGACCATAAAATATGGTTACCAAATGCAGGGCTTATTAGTTTTTGTTTTTGGGATATAAGCTGGACTAATTTATTTTTAGCAGGGGAAACTGTGTTGCTACCTTGTTCATTACTTGCAATCTCTCCCTCTGGAGCAGTAGATGAACACCTAATTACTGGAGCGCCTGGCGTAGTTTGAAAGAGTGACGGAGTCATATCCGCGCCGCATTATTAGACCAATCGCAAGCTTCTAGGGTGGGTGTTGAAAGTTGATGCTTCCTGGGCTGATTAAACTAATTTGTTTTCAGTAATAGATACCGAATAGATTAACTGGGCAGGCATTAGGAAAAGTTCCTAAGGCTGACCACAGCAAACAACACAAAACATAACACTTGTCAAATATTGGAAAACCACATCGTACAGAAATCATGCTTTAGGTTATATTTAACGAATCAATCAAATAAATGCGTTAAATAAAAAAAAAACATTACATTCTTGAATATATCTTTTAGCCAATACTTGACCACCGTGGACAGCTTTAGGAGTAGGTTAAAATTACGGAGCCCAAAGATATCCTCATTTCTGAGTCTATCACGCAGAGAAACTCCGAGCATCGCCCTCTCCATAGCTCGCTGAGCGACCTTGAGCGTCCTTATACGGCCAGCAGTGAACGACCACGTCTCAGATCCGTAAGTCATCACTGGCAACACGCACTGGTTGTACAATCTAGTTTTCAGAGATTGAGGTATACCTGACGAGAAGATGTGTCGTAATTTCACGAACGCTGCCCAGCCGAGTTGAATCCGTCGATTGACCTCTCGGTCGAAGTTGGACTTACCTAGTCGGACTTTTTGTCCCAGGTAAACGTACTCGTCAACAACTTCGAGCATAGTGCTCCCAACAACTACCGGCAAGGGTGTGACATGGACATTAAACATGATCTTTGTTTTGTCCATGTTCATTTTAAGGACTATCCGTTGGGAGACACCATTGAGCATAGTGCTTAGGTCCTCCAGCAATTCTGCCATAGGGACTATATCTTTGGCAAATTGAAGGTTTTTTTTTATAGAATAGGGTGACAAACGAGCACACAGTCCACCTGATGGTAAATGGTTGCTGCGGCCCATTGACATCTACATCTATCCTCCATTAAAAATCAAAATGCAGATGCGTTGTCACCCGTGAGGACTGAGATGGAATGCCTCGTTTCCAGTAAAAGTGGTCTCCGGTTCTCTACACTCACCATACGAAATACAGCAGCATTAAACTACTATTTCACGCTGGTATTCTGTGAGAGCGTGGTCCTTCCCCGGTCGAGCCGACCCATTCGTGCTACAACTATACTACTAATATAACTGCAGCATGGCTCTACCACGTATATAGGAAGGTGAGTGATGTACTCGCCATTGATGTTAATACCGTATCCTTTCCAGTCCAGTAGCTTGAAAACGTCTTCCAATGCAGCGGTGAAGAGTTTCGGGGATATAATGTCACCTTGTCTTACACCTCTCTGCAGTTGGATAGGTTTCGAACTCTGGTTCTGTACTCGGATAGCCATCGTAGCCCTACTGTACAAACACTTCAGCACTTCGATATACCGACAGTCAACTTGGCACCGCTGAAGGGACTGTAGCACCGCCAAAATTTCGATGGAATCAAAAGCTTTTTCATAGTTCACATACGCCAGGCAAAGTGGCAGATTGTACTCTTCGGTCTTCTGTACAATCTGTCGTAGGGTATGTATGTGGTCTATGGTACTGAAACCTATATTTACTATATATACTACATATATATTTAACAGTTTATATTTAAATTACAGAATTATTATCATTACGAGCTATCAAAATTAAAATGTGTAGTGTTTACCGTCTTTTGCCGTATTTTTTCGTCAAGTACTTTTGACAACACATACTTAAGTAAGTTATCTAGCTAAAAGCAGCCTGGAGTCTGTAATTTTGCTCGATATATGACAATATGGTACTAACTTACGACCACGTCCACTTTCTTAAAAGTTTGACGATTATGAAAATAGCAATATACTCGCCCCTTACTATATGAGACTTAAAATACATTTTGCCAGTTATGATATTGTGTTTTTTGTATTTAAGTAAGTCTTATATCTATTACAGTTATATAATGGGGAAGAATAAAAAGCGAAGCGGGAGAAAACCAGGAGCACATAATTATGCTGATTATTCAGCGGAAATGTTAGACGTTGCAGCAGATCTCGTCCGAAACAAATTTATTTCGTCATACGAAGCGGAAAAGCAGTTTGGGATTCCGCGTCGGACCATTCTCAATAAATCTAAAAACATACACATTAAACCATTTGGGCGACCTACAGAGATGAGGAAGAAGCCCATGTCACAGACGTAGTGAATCTTTCTGCTGAATTTGGCTGTCCTTTAACTATTTTAGATCTGCGCATTGTAGTTTACAATTATTTAAGTGAACGATGGGCTCGTGCTTTTCTACAACGTCACAATTTTTCCCAAATGGCAACTCAAAGTATAAAAAGAAGTCGTGCTGCGAAAACAGTAGAGGAAATTAATAAATATTGTAATAATCTTGAAACTTCACTTAAAGACATTCCTGCCGGCAACATCCTTAATCCCGGGTTAAAAAAGTGTATTTTTAAACGAGGTACAAAACACCCAGAAAGGGTTATAAATGCCAGCAAAAGTGCAGTTTCAATAATGTTTAGTGGAACTCCTGATAGCAATTGTCTACCACCCTATGTGGTTTACAAGGCAGATCATTTGTGGAGCAGCTGGTGTGAGAATGGACCAAAAAATGCTCGGTATAATCGAACCAAATCTGGGTGGTTCGATATGATATGTTTTGATGATTGGTTTAAAAGTATAGTTGTGCCGTGGGCTAACGCTCTAGACGGCGTTAAACTTATCATCGGTGATAACTTAGCATCGCACCTAAGCGTCGAGACAAAGTCAAAGTAAAAATATCAGATTCGTTTTTCTTCCAAAAAATGCTACACACCTAACCCAGCGGCTAGACGTTGCATTTTTTAGACCAATGAAACGATATTGGCGTGAAATTTTAACAAATTATAAAGCTACATAAACTACATACAGCACTGCAAGTACAATCAATAAATGCCGTTTTCCATATCTACTGCTTGAGCTAATGACTAAAATAGACATTACAAAAGAGAGCAACATACGTAAAGGATTTGAGGAATCTGGAATATTTCCTTTCAATGCTTCAAGGGTGACAATACCAACATTACGAGAAGAAAATACTAGTCAGTTTGATGCCAGCCTTCTGGAGTTTTTACAGCAAAATAGGCGATTACAGCTAATGAAAACTGACAAAAACAGCAAGCTTACAGTCGTACCCGGTAAATCTATATCAACCGAAGAAGCAGAAGAGCTTGCTAAAACTAAAAAGGTGAAAAAGCATACAAGAACAACTAAACAGAAAGAGAAAAAGGATGTAAGTTTACCGGGATCTTCAAAATTAACTACTGTAAAAAAGAAAATAAAGTATACTGAAACTAAAAGCCTTGGATCAAACGATACCTACGAGCTAGACGCTACCTTCGAAGACAACTAGGCACAATTTCACTGTTCGTGGTTGATGCTCCAAAATCCTGAGAGCCTTTGTATGCTTTGCAAAAGTTCTATAAACATTTACTTGCACCCTTTAGTGGCAGATTGAAATAATTTCGTGCATTGCCTAAATAATTTGCCCAATAACTCCAAAATTAACACACCGTTTTGCGAAGACACACCAGAATGTCTGCAGTTGAAAATAGGTAATGATCCTGATCCAATTAAAAACCCAGACAAGAATAAAAAACCTAAAGTAATAATTATGTCTAATATAGTTATAAAAGAAGCCTCTCCAGAAAAAAAAATAGTTTTACGGGATATAAATACAGAAATGAATAAAGAAAAGAGAAGACAAGCCAGCACTTCAAGAGGACCGTCATCTAAATTTAAGAGAAAAGAAAAAAATTTGTGTACCATAGCGACTCAAGCCTGACATCGGAAACTTCGTTTAATGCTGCAGACGACTCCGACTATGAAAATTTTGATGATTACAATTGCATCATGTTTACAAGAACAAGAAGAACAAGAAAACATAAGCCCTTTCGGATTGAGTGATATTGATCTTTATGTTGAAAATTCTCTTGGACTTCAAGAAAACTGCTGGATAATTTGCTTCGAAAAAAAAAGTGTTAAACACTTTGTAGGGAAGGTTTTATCAATAAATAATCAAATTCCTAAAGTGAAATTCGCATGAAAAGTAAAAAAGTGTGTTAAGGGAACGGTATTCACCTACCCTAACATTGAAGACATATGTGATGTACATGATTTAAAAGATGCTTTTGCAGTTTTACCTGATACCCAAATTTCTCGTCGAGGACATTTCATATTTAATTTAGATTTCGATAAATATAACATACAATGAGTAAAATGTTATACGAGGGTGGATTGAAAAGTACTCGGCCTAACACAGATCCATTCAATTCTAAAAATCAAATCTACCCACATTATTTAGTTCAGTTGAGACTAGTCCATTGTGTGAAGTTCAAAACGTGTGCAAATTAATTGTGATTTTATAAATTTATTAACAAAGTAATCGGACATAATTTCCGCGAATGGAGCAAATCGAGCAGCGTGCCGTCATCAAGTACCTCCATAAGAAGGGGCTATCATCAAAAGCCATCCATGATGACATGGTCATTACATTAGGCGATTGTGCTCTGTCATATTCATCCGTCAAAAAATGGATAACAGAATTTAAGCGTGGTAGAGAGAGTGTGAAAGATGAACCCCGCTCTGGAAGGCCTTCGACGTCAACTACTGACGAAAATATTAAAAAAAGTACTTGATTTAATAATGGGAGACCGCAGATTAAAAATTAGAGAGATAGCCGAGATTATAGGCATCTCTTATGAACGAACTCAAAACATCATTGTCAACGAGTTGGGTTTCCACAAGGTGTCTGCGAGGTGGGTTCCGCGACTGCTTTCAGTTGAACAAAAAAGGACGCGATTGACTATTTCACGCGACTGTTTGGAGTTATTTGAAGCCGATGCAGATGATTTTTTGAATCGTTTTGTTACTATGGACGAAACATGGGTTCATTACTGTACACCGGAAACAAAACAACAATCAAAACAGTGGAGAAAACCTGGTTCACCACCCCTAAAAAGGCTAAGTCGATTTTGTCGGCAAATAAGGTGATGGCTTCAGTATTCTGGGACTCGAAAGGTGTGATTATGATTGATTATCTTGAAAGGGGTCAGACTATAAACTCTGATTACTACTGCACCTTACTACGTCGTTTACGAGAGGAAATAAAAGAAAAACGTCGAGGAATGCTCAGAAGAAAAGTCCTGTTTCATTAAGATAACGCCCGTGTTCACACGTCAGTACAGTCAATGGCTGAAATTCACAACTGTGGCTTTGAACTGTTACCGCATCCGCCGTATTCACCTGATCTGGCACCATCAGACTTCTTTCTGTTCCCTAACCTAAAAAAGCACTTGGGAGGTCAAAGATTTTCGACAAACCACGAGGTCAAAGCAGCTGTAGACGCATATTTTGACTCTAAGGAAGAATAATTTTTTTTCAACGGTCTAAATGCTCAGAAGGGGAGGTGGCAAAAGTGTATTGAACTTGATGATGATTATGTAGAAAAATAAAAATATAACTGATTTAGTATGTGTTTATTTTCTTGGTTAGGCCGAGTATTTTTCAATCCACCCTCGTAACGTTCTAAACTAATGAAACAATCAGACGAATATTTTCAATATTTTTGCTATAGAGAGCTGTTCAATTCAGTAAAACAATTTCGAAGACAATTTTATACCTTTGCGAAGAGGGAATACAAATGATTTCTTTTATTCCGCTACCGCAATTTGACTAATGATTTTGTTATTTTGGTTGAAATTATTTTGTAGATTTTATGTGTTTTGGGTACTTCCTATGTAGGTATGTTCCAAAATTTTTGTTTTTATAATTATGTACCCATAGTTCGTAGTTTAATTAAACTTACTTACAATTTTAATACCTTCTTATTAAAACAGTATTTTTTAATATTAAATGCTTCTAGAAATAATAAGACACGATTTTGAATAAACGGAGAGAAATTATTATGTTGTTTTTTAATGTTTTATAGATGATTATTTTATACCAAACCTTTAAATATTGTTTCTAATTTGTGTTTCTTTATTACATTGTTAATTTTAATTGTTAGTGAGAAAAAGACGTAATCAATATTATCGACTGTTACCCACATAATTTAGGATATTTTGTTTTAATTTTATTAAGGAAAGTTTCGTTGTCGTTTTAATATTAAAATAATACTCAAACTAATTTAAATATTTTCAGGTAAAACCGTGCTATAAAAAATGTTTGTTACATTAATAATTCTAAGACGTTAATGCCAAAAACATTTGTAATTTTTACTTGTAAGAAGCAATGTGTTTAATTTTTTTTAAGAATAGAAATATTAAAAAATTAATCTATATTTTTGGACAACCCTGAAGTCAACAATATTTTTGTATGGACAGTTTGTGATACCTGCTACAACATTGCCTATTTGCTGTGAAAAAAAATATAACTAATATAGCTGACAAAAATTTAACTGCGGGGGATAAGCACGGTGTCTCATGCACACAGGAAAAATACTGGAAAGATCAACTACTATTATTTATTGAGATATCCTTCTAGGCTATGATGCGTCTTTTACATACAACTTTGCCTACGACTTTGAGTGATTTCAATTAATAAGAATAGCATAAATTAAAAAGATTTTGGTTCTACCTGGCAAGGCATAATCTTTTTTTATATAAAACCCATTAGAAGCTACAATAATAAATTGATTCAGAGATACGAACAAAAAAAAATCGAAATCCGTGCAAAGTTGCAGCATTTTACGGTAATCAACTCCAGACATCAAAAACACTTTGTACTTAAAAAGAGTAATTACATACAAAGGTGTGAAAAACTGCGTCGAATGCAGCCAAGTGAGTTAAAATCCAACGACGCGTCAAACAATCGATTCTAAATAATCGTTTTTATGATATAAAATTTGAATTTGAAATCAACCAATTAGAAAGTTTTCGAGCATTTCAAGCACGGAAAAAGCGGGAAGTTCCAGCGTTGGCCTACCAAAGTCAAGCGCTGTTCAGATTTTTGTCTTAATTTCCATTATCTCATGCATTTTTATTTCACCTCCTCACTATTAGCCGTACCTACCTTATAAGTTCATCTGAAAAGCTGGGTTTACACACCACACAAGGCACCACAACAAGGTAAGAGTAAATATATCAAAGCGTATTAATTGTGTAGTGATATCCAGCTGTGAACTTTTTTATGTTAATGCAATTAATATCTTTTTCCTGTGCTTAAAAGTGTAATCTTTAAAGAAATACCTTTGTTCAGTATTTGACTAAATAAGACTGTTGATATTGTGTAATAATTTTGTGATATTACACGAAATTATTGTTTCGAAGTCAGTTATTAGCAACTCCGTTACTCACGAGACAACGTAGAATTATAATTTCTTACAATTCCACTTCTCACTATTGTGCAATTTACTTCGCAAATATGTAATTAATTTTTTCTACACCTACTATAAACACCTCCAGGTTTTGTTTGTCACAATTCGTTAGTAAGAGATTGTTTAATTGTATCGGTAACTATCCGCAACCGTGACGCATTTGGAACCTATTGATCCGTGTTATTCCATCGCTGATTACTGTGGCTCACGTGAATGGTCGTTATAAATTCTGATCCTGCCTGTGTATATTTTACATTTTGAGTCAGGCAGCGTTCATAAAAACAAGTTATAACGTAACGTTTACTGTTACTTTAATCTTTAATACCTGTTTTTTCCTCTCTCCTTTTTATACTAGATTCACGGCAACATGAATTTTCGAGCAATATTTTTATTTGTATTTGTAAGTATATTTTCACTGAAGATGAAAATTGATTATTTGCTGAGATTTATATTTAAATCATATTTTTATCATATCATGTATTATCCCATTCGAAGAACACCACCCTCCCATAATCGATTACATTATCACTACCATCACTAAACATTTCAACCCGTTCGCTTCAATATCAACGTACGGAGTTACCGTCGTTAACATTATTTTCTTTACCAATAACTATGTTTAATGTGCGGAGGACCTTTGCTAGACGATCTTGACTTAAAAGATTTGCTGGTAACACCAAACTCCTTAGGGGATTGCCGTCGGCTTTCACAACATCTATGAGATGAAATCGTGAATATGAAGTCGCTACTTCAGTGTGAAATTTTATTTAAGCCTTTTAAAGTGTCCTTAATCATGATTTAAGGCTACCAATATATCTTCTTCTTCATTATCAGACCGTAAGTGTTCTCTTAATTCTGAACATGGGCCTCCCTCGTTGTAAGAAGCGACTTTGAAGGTGCAGTCCTCCCCCGGTCTGGGTAATACAGACAGTCCTTTTAATTATATAATACACAGGGTTATTTTTCAAAGTAAAGTAAAGAGAAAAAAGTAAAGACGTAAAAAGTAAGGACAAAGTTTTGTCTACTGTTTACTTTCTTAGTGACACGCTTACTATTAATGAAAAAAAAAAAAATCTCAAACCAACTCGACCAACCCCACAAAACCGGTTAAATGTTTATTTTCCAACACACCAATATTATAAAAAAAAAAAAAAAAACAAAAAAAAAAACCCCCAAAAAAAAAAAAAAAAAAAAAAAAAAAAAAAAACTTAATTTTATAACTACATGACGCGAATTATGATTCCAATTTTCCCTTCACACTTTTAACGGTCTTAAGCTCGTCATAATACATAAAAATAAAATGAAATATTTTGCTTTTCAACGACGTAACCGATGACTTGTCATTATTATGGTATTTTTTTACATTTATTACCAATGCTTAAGCACATTTAACTTCCGTGATTGCAGCAATCATTTTGCTGCAGCGGTCTTCATAACTTTGGGCCTTATTGACGTAAACACGACTCTTTATTTTGTCTCGCAGATAAAAGTCTAACGGCGAAAGGTACAGTGAGTTTGCAGTCCATAGTATAGGGCCTTCATGCGCAGTCACCCTATCTTCATATTCACTATTTAATTTATCGCTCACTGCACAGTTTAATTAGCTGTCAAATGTTCTTTGGTTGGTAGGTACACGAACATTCATTTATTGCAGCGGTAATGACTCATTTTCGTATGATCTTTGCGCTTAACGTAAACTTTCATTTCTTAAAATATAACACCTCAACATTTCATAGTTTCATATTATTTGTGGTCCTTCATTGGTAACGAAGCGACACTACCTACAAAAATTACAAAATAGCACACGTGATGAGGTCACGATCAACGTTGATAGCTGTTGACTGGCCAGACCGGCGGACATAGGTACCTAGCAGTGTTACGGTTAACAGAAGCGAAGGGCGCGGGAAGACATGCTACAAGGCACCTATTAGATTTTTATTATTCGAGTGACCCTTGTAAATGTGTGCTTGCGTATTAAAATAGTTGGCGTTCGATATTTATGAATGTAATTACATAGTTCAAAAATAATGCATTACCACGCATTCTGAATAAAAAAAGAAAAAGGACGGACTGTTTGAGTTTTTTTTTCTTAATTTGTTTTCACCAAACGCCTATATTTCTTATAATGAACCTCATTTGCAAATTTAGGTATACATTGCAAAATATGTATGCGTGATCACATTGAGTGTTTTTTAGTATTGGACGACTAATTTCCGGTTCTTTTAATATATATTCCGGTTCTTTTGATATTTCAGATGCTTTTGGCAGTCGCAGTTGCATTTCCATCAGATGAAAATAGATCAAGACGTGACGTCGCGGAGTCCGTGAAAAGTGCTGCGAGCGATGCGAAGAAGGCGATAAGCGACGCAGGCGCTGCTGTTGTCGACGCGTTTAAGCCAACAGAGAAGAGTACTAAAGACAAAATTGTAGACAGTGTCAAAAATATTGGTCAATAAGAGTTTGTTGTGTATGAATATGCTCTTATACAAACTTATAAAAGCTGTATTAAAGACTAAAACTCAATTTATTGATATTAACTGCTACAATATGTTAATAAATAAATCTTATATACAATAAATATCAGTGGTTTATTTAATTACCTTTAACTTTCTTAATTGATGTATACTGCTACTACTATTAGAGCCCAGTACAGCGACTTGTGATGTCAAGTCCACTCCTAAACATAGGCCTCCCCTATATCCTCCCCAGGTCCTGATCTGCCTGCATTCATCGACTGCCTGCATATTTCATTTGTTCGTCACTCCATCTAGTGAGAGGTCACCCAACGCTTGCCAGCAGTATGAGGCTACCAACATCGGCTGTCAGTTCTTCGAGATATATATGTCTAACTCATTGCCACTTTAGTTTAGCTAGCCTTTCAAAAACATGTTGATAGTTCAAGAACATAGGACTTCCCTATAAGATTGTAATATAAGAAGGATTTTGCCACAGTTGCCATGAACTTTTTAACTGTGTGCGTGTGTGCCTTTGCGATATTAGTTTCTACCAGATTTAAATGATTTACAGGAATCATCAAGCTCTGTAACTTTTACAACGTCCATGAGACTAAATTGTAAATGGGAACATCGTTCTATTTTTCCTCTCTTTCTTTTCATTCTAAAGGGTTAACATTTAATGATTTAGGAGCTATTGAAAAGATAAATGAAGACATAATCCTCAACCACCAAAAAGACATTAGTTCATCCCCGCTATTAACATATTTTATTTAGTAATAATTTTATTTTGTTAATTTATTTTATATTAATTTTGAAATTCAAACGAAAAATTCAAATTAATAATAACTTTTTTGGATTTACATAATATTATCATGACTTGAACACTATTTCATACATCCCAGGTCAGTGAATGGACATTTTTACATTTAAATTATTAAAAAGTAAAAATAATATAGTTCACTTATTGGTAACTTTAGAGATTTATTAAAATGGAATCCCTGAGGTTTGTTCTAACTTCACGACTTTTGATAAAATTCTCTCAAATTTCATTTATTGAGTTCGTTGTTTTGAAATACCTTAATGATGCCGTAAGGTGACACCGGTCGGTTTATATTGATTGATAGTGTGTCTTTTGTAATTAAAATATTTTAATATCACAAAGCACTGAAATTAAAACTTTGTTTACAAGATTTTTAACTAATTAAAATACATTCAGATTTCATTTAGGAATCGTATTTCGGGTTTATTAGTTGTTTACACTACCTACCTATTTCTTCCGAGCGATTAATTAAATGGCGATTCGCGACGAGTGACCTTGCAAGTTGCATGCGTTAGGCACAGAATTCGCATAGTAGGTAGCAAAAATATCGTACCCCTATTGCAAAATCTGCTATCTGCGTTTTTGTACCAAAATTAAGTTAAATATATCAATCGACTCTTCCAGTCACGACAAAGCTACAGGTAAAACCCATTGTCTCCTACGACGCCTTTTTATGGGGATAGCTAGAGTTAAAAGCAAATACCTTCAAGTATGATTTAATTATCTTCTTGAAAAAAGAACTAAACTCATTTAAATACTTAAAATTTTTAAATGTATACCACAAAAAACATCTTCCGTATTATAACATTTTCAGACGTAGTTGCTTGATTTGTTATTATGTCGATATTATTCTGCTAGTAAATATTAACCTGCGGTAACTGGTTTCAACCTTTATTAATATACTAGAAATAGCTGATGTACTGGTAGATACCAGTAAAACAAACTAAAAACCGTTAGTAGCTTTTTGCCGAAAAATTAACACCATATTTGGTTAAAGTCATTGCAGGTAAAAAAACTTAGATAACTATAGTTTACTTTTACTGTATAACTGGGCTACGATAGTATCCGAAAATCTTCAGCTACTATCAATTATCTGTGTTTGCTTTTTTCTTTCACTAGGTACATGCGAGACAGTGTCTGAATTAGCTTCAGCTAAAACCGACTATCCATGTATAGCCGTCACTTGCGCACGCAATTTACAACGCGCGCTCTTTATACGCGGTTCTTAATCGTGCGCGGACTGTCGAGCGTTTGATTGTCTCGTGCTAATAGAATAAAAACAGCATAGTATTATTCGTTATAATAGTGAAATTTTATAAAATTAGTGTCTCTAAAGGTGACAAAGAAAAGATATTTGAAAATTCCATACAAAACCTTGGTTTTAAGTTACATAATGTTACGAGCTTGAGGTTCGTGACAATAAAAATTGCCGATAAAATTACCTAAATTAACACTTTAATTTACTTTACACAATTAAAGTTAAAACACTAATAATTTAAACACACTAATTCACTTAATTCCACTCCGAAGCTTCGCTTGTTTCGCCCAAATCAACACTGCCTCGATCGCATCTTGCAGCGCCTATATATTTGAATTAGCAAAGAAATATCCAGAATGTTCAAGTAAACACGCGGAAGGTACCGAGCGTTCGAGTTTCGACTAGGCGCTGTCAGTTGAGCGATTTGTGATGTCATTTTCTCAATGCTCCCCTCGCTCTCGTTCCTGACACTAGATGGCGCTAGTGTATCGTTGACTGGAGCGCGTAACACTGCCCCCTCCTAAGACATGCTCGTCCCGAGCATTATCGGCCCCATAATAACGCGCCAAGCGATTCACATGGACGATCTTAGGAGTCCCTCTTGCGCCTTTCTGTAACGGCTCCGCAATGTCAAGGGCTGTCCTATCCCGTTGTGCACCAACATTGTACAATTTCGGCGCTCCTCTACTACGTGTCCGAGGTCCCCGCTCGGCCGCACAACTTGTACATGTACGACACCAATCCTCGACATCGTCACGATAATGGACCCAGTAAAACTGTTCTCGGACCTTCAGTAGAGTTCGTTTAACTCCCAGACGGACTCTTGAACGACCATTATGGCACAACTGTAGAACGTTCGGCACTTTAGCTTTAGGGACAACCATTTGCAAACGACAGCTGTCTCTTCGACCATTGTCCCATTTACGGCACAGGACACCATCCTGAATCAGCAAGCTGTCCCATTGGGCCCAATAGCTTTTCGTGGTTGAACTCATCGCTGAGACGTCCCTCCACTTAGGCTTGGTAGCACGGGCCTTCATCCATCCCAGAATCGGCTTGATGTCCGGATCTTCCTGCTGTGCATGTCGTAGGTTGTCCTTCCATTCGTTGCTGAGGTGGTCCGTCCTGAGCATCCTCACGGATACCACCTCCTTACTCTCTTGCCTACTACAATGGTTGCAATCTTCAGGACAAGGTCTTCTTGACAATGCATCTGCGTTGCCGTGAGATTTCCCGCTGCAGTGTCTGATAGTAAAGTCGTATTCCTGCTGCTGCTGGGCGGTGCTGTTAGCCGCACTTCCTTTCTGAGACCGTTCACCTTCCCTTCCTAGGGTGTGCTTAGGGCAGCTGGACCGAAGATGGCCCCTTTCCCCACAGCCATAGCACCTAGGGCTGTATCTTTTATTGTGGTCGCGAACCGTAACTGCTGTAACCTCCCTGACGCGATGGGAACGATGATCCTGCCGCACGGCTTCCACCTCCAGTGCATGGGCCAAGGCGTTCTTAAGCGTGTCGTGGTGCCCGAGTCTCACAGCAGCTCTGACCTCCAGGTCGCGGATGCCGTCGATAAATGTCTGCACCAGGTTCCCTTCAATGAGCGCAGGTACAGACCGGTAAGCTTTTCGCACCAGCTTCTCCACCTCTAGAGCCCACTGCTGCAGGTTTTCGTTGATGCGCTGCACACGATCTTTAAGCTGCGCACGAAAGACGTGTTCCAGGTGAGCGTCGCCATATCTCGCCTCCAATGCCTCAAGGAGTTGCTCATAAGTCACTTCCTCACCGAGAGCTTCCAGAACTGTTAAGGCCTGGTCGCGCAGGCCTAGTGTGAGAGCAGTCATGGCCTGACTTTTATTCCAGCCGTTCGCCTTCATAACAGCCTCGAACTGGACTTTGTAGGCTGACCAGGAAGAGGTACCGTCGAACGGTGGCACCTTGAACCCACGTAGCGAAGGTGTTGTAGCTACTACGGGAGCTGTAGCTCCATCTCCAAGTTTGAGTTCGTCCAGTGATTTCTTCATGTCAGCCATTACGTTGTCAACCCGATTGTTTACTTGGTCGATTCGGGCTTCAGCTTTCTCGATTCGGTTTTCAGCTTCCGACAGGTGGTTGTCATGGTGAGCAACCCTATCCTTCACCTCCTTTATCTCCTTCCCGAAGGTAGCGTGAAGGTCCTTCATGAGGAGCATCTGTTCCTCGTGTCGGCGGGCCTGTTCCTCCTGCTGCTCTTTCAACTGACGGGCCTGTTCCTCCTGTCCGCCCCGCAGCTGCTGCAGCATCACCATCAGAGCACCTAAGTCAGGTGCCACAGACGTAGAAGCTGCTGACGGACCGGCTTCCGTGGCCGGCGGCTGGCCCTCAGACATCTGCGGCGTTGCACCACCAAATCTCCTCTGGTCCGTCTCCTGTTGGCGTTGACTTCGGGTATGGACACCCTCCGTTTCCTCCTTAGGTAAAATCGGCATTATTTTATCCCACTTCTGACACCAATTGTTACGAGCTTGAGGTTCGTGACAATAAAAATTGCCGATAAAATTACCTAAATTAACACTTTAATTTACTTTACACAATTAAAGTTAAAACACTAATAATTTAAACACACTAATTCACTTAATTCCACTCCGAAGCTTCGCTTGTTTCGCCCAAATCAACACTGCCTCGATCGCATCTTGCAGCGCCTATATATTTGAATTAGCAAAGAAATATCCAGAATGTTCAAGTAAACACGCGGAAGGTACCGAGCGTTCGAGTTTCGACTAGGCGCTGTCAGTTGAGCGATTTGTGACGTCATTTTCTCAATGCTCCCCTCGCTCTCGTTCCTGACACTAGATGGCGCTAGTGTATCGTTGACTGGAGCGCGTAACAATAATTTAAATCTTTAGGTTATAAAAGCCGGTACTTAACAGGTTTTAGTAACAAAATTGTGTAAAGTATTGTTCTGTCGAAATATCTAACGAGTTTACTATATTTCACAGATGATTTTTGGTGTAATGATGACTTACTATCGCAAGCGTATGACACGTGATGTGTGATTTGTCAATTTCTACGACAACAGAAGGTAGGTACTTAACTTACAGTCACTTTAATTATAACTAGCTGTGCAACGCGGTTTTACTTGTGTACGTCTCGAACCCGTGGAATTACCAAGATAAAAAGTAGCCTATGTCCTTCTCGTAACAGACAAACAGACAGGTGTGTGATGTGTGTGGATCCCAGTATCCCACAGGAACGGACGGTACATATAATATGCCTATTATTTGTAACCCCCGACGCAAAAGTGGGGTTTTACATGTAAATTCGACGCCATTTGTCGGTCTGCCTGTGTATCTGTCTGTCTGTGTGTGTGTATGTCCATCTACCTGTGTTTGTGTCTGTCTGTGGCATCGTAGCTCCTAAACAGGTGGACCAATTTGGTTGTGCTTTTTTAATAGAAAGCGGGTTTAAAGGAGACAGTTCTTAGCTACGTACGATGATGATCAGGTCAGCCAAATACGATGAAAGTATTGTCTGTCACAAAATAAGTTATTATAGCTAAACTATAGAAGTTATTACATTTAAAAACCTATAAATACAATTACAAACTTAAAACTTCCGAGCTGCCTCCCGACTAACAAATCCTATTCAACGTGATTATCTGTTTACAGATGCTGCTTGCTCGAGTCAGGTCGAAAAGAAAAGAAAGAAAGATAGTGATTGTACTAAAATGAATCAGATATCTTTCAATTATCTAATAAATCTTAATCTTCTTTTCTTTCTTTCAAGAGAAGTTCATAACAATATTATAATGTAAAAGTTCTCTTAAACTATTTACTACTTTTCTTCAGGCCGCTCAAATAATAGAGCCTAAATTAATTATTCTGTTTTACTTCTGTTTTAAATGTCTATGTATGTGTATGTGAGCAGAGTACCTCGTGGCTAACCATGTTCTTTCAAATTTAAATTTAACATCCTACATACATCCAATAGTATTGTTTATCTTTTGTAGAATTAACTTAATTTTTCTTTCTTTCAATTACAGTTGAAATTTCATCAAAACTAACTATGGAAAGTCAGGAACGAATTGAAGACCCGTCGTATTTACCTTCTGATCTAGATCGCCCTACTACACCTGAATCTGAAGATTCAGAATTTATACAATTGGATGAGTTGTTAAATCCAGACAGATATTTAACTAAAGAAAATAATATAAAAGAAATGCAAAGTAAAGCTATAGCCTTATTGTTTGGCAAACCAAAACAACTTCCTAATAATAATGAATCCCAGTATGTGGTCCAAGCAATAACGGAAAATATATTTAAACTAACTTGGAAAGTTATACAACCACGTGCTTGATGGAGTCGATGAAATCCAGCTACATGGAAAAATAATCTATCAAAAAGACGTAGACGTTTATCATTGAAGGAATTTCACCGCATGTGATAGCAGATGCTGTAAAGCACCGCAATAGTTTGGGACAGTATTCAAAAGAACAGGACCCGCGCGGTCGTTCGTGAACCTCAAAATAAAACGTCGCCTGAGATGGTAGAAGCTGTTAAGTCGTCAGTCTGCGTGCGGGACGATTCGTAATGACTCTCGAAAACCGCACGTAGATGCGGCTCAGAAGGGATATCGGTCTGTAGTTCTTCAAGAGGGCCTTGTCACCTTTCTTGAAGAACAAGATAACCGCACTTCTGCTCCACGCCTTCGGAGTAGTGCCATCATGGAGGACGGAATTAAAGAGCCTCTGAAGGATTTCAAGAACCGGTTTTCCACCCGCTTTCAGAAGCTCCGCTGTAATTCCATCCTCGCCCGGGGACCTGCCGTTTTTAAGGTGCTGGAGAGCCATTCTAATCTCGCTCAGACTGACGTCCGGGATATCATCGGAACAGTGTCGGATAAGACTTGCTCTTGGATCGTTACTCACACTTTCGTGTGGCTCCAACGATGATGTGTACAGCTGTCCATAGAACCTCTCAATCTCACTCAGAATCTCAGGTGTCCCGGAAACGATGCTGCCACACTCAGTCTTCAACTTTGACAGTTGGCTCTTACTGGCAGACAGATCTCTGGCGAAGACTTTGGAGCCTTGGTTCCGCTCGATCGATTCTTCAATAGGTGCAGTATTGAAGTTGCGCAAGCAATTTGGAAATCTGTCTGTTCAGTTGCCTGTGTACTGTCAAATCTGTTGACGATTGCAGCCTCATCTCCCGTCTAACAGCCATGAGATTAAGAGTGTGATCGGAGAATTTTTGTGTTCTTCTGCGGCGGGTCTTGCTCCGAACTTAGCTCCGACAGCATGGGCAGTTTCCACGAGCTTGTCATTCATATCGTCCACTGCATTGCAATCTTCTAGACACTGAAAGCGGTTACGTAACTCGAGCTGAAAGGTTTCGGGATTGTGGATTAGAGCACGAGGGGGGACGGAGTGTTGACTTCATTAGACGAGACCTCTCCAACTTAACGTTTAGGTTTAGTGTGCCTCTAACCATTCGGTGATCGCTGCCGGTTTTCTCCCTTGCGATCACTGGGACATCACTAACAGTTGGCGTCTGGTCGTCATAATGAAGTCAATCTCATTTTTTGTCGAACCGTCGGGGCTCGACCAGGTAAACTTACTGTGCGGCCGCTTCGGGAAGAAAGAGTTCGTCATAAAGAGTCCCTCTTTCTCCATAAAGTCGGCCAGCTGCTGGCCCCTACGGTTCCGTTGCCCTACTCTAAATTTCCCTAACTTCAGCTCACCGCTTTCTCTTGTGCCTAGTTTTGCGTGATAACCGTGTAGTGAGTTTTGGAGGAATGCATGGCTCCAGAAATATCCTCATACATTTCCTCCACCTCCTCATCGGGATGTGCCGAGGTTGGTGCGTAAACCTGTATAACCTTCAGCGAATACCGTTTGGTGATTCTGAGCATCAGGTACGCGACTTTCGTCGACACACTCCCAATCTTTACAACGTTGTTGACGAAAGACTTGTGGACGATAAATCCGACACCTCCTTGGGACAGATTATCGTTTTTGGTATGGTTAAAATGATCACTGCAAAAAAATCTTGTAAAAATATTTTTCCAAATATTAAATTCCTACAATATTTAGTGGTTACTTTAACAAGTATTTAAAAAATATTTTACTGTAAACAAACAATAATAAATATTTTGTTGTATCCACAAATGTCATAGATAAATGAAAATAATGAAAATCGTCAATTTATTTTTTCTCTTTGTCGCAATTTTTGCTCCTAGCTCGTAGCCATTAACTTTACATAGGCAGCTATCGGCAACCAAAGACCTCAATTTGAAAACCAAAAAGACGGAAATTTTTCATATGATATTTAAAAAATAAAAATTAAATTAAAAAAATATTTCATAGAAAGACATAAAATAATTGTAAACTAAACCGTCGTCCCATCGTCGGCGACGTTATTTTTGAACTTTTTTTGAAAGATATATGCGCAAGTATCAAATAAGCCATATTACGTAATAAAGAGCCGTGGTAGCTCAGATGGTTAACGCTCGCTGTAAATATAACAGAACGCGAGTAACCCGGGTTCGAGCCCCGCCGGCACCAATGAAATTGTTACAATTTTAAGTGCTGATTTACCACGTGCTCGGCGGTGAAGGAAAACATCGTGAGGAAACCTGCATGTCTGAGGAATAAGAAAAAAAAAAATATTTCGAAGACATGTGAAGTTCGCCAACACGCATTGGGGCAGCGCGGCGAACACTTCCTTGCCCTAAAACCCCCCTCAGAAATGAGGGGGAGGCCTGTGCCCAGCAGTGGGACGTATATAGGCTGTAACTTTACTTTACTTTACTTTACGTAATATTGAAAAAAAGAGTACTATATGAATAAGGGTATTATATGAATAAGGGTGTTACCACACCAATCGATCGATCGTTGACTGATTGAAGTTGATCTGATCGGTCGAGCTGATCGACGGATACTGATCGAAACGTTGTTCAATAATCGATCGACGTCGATCCACAATTAATCGATGTAGTTGTGAGTTCAGTACTCAGAAGATGATCCGTTATCGTTGACCAGTATGCTTCAGCTTGTCTCATTATTACAGAGATTCAAACGGAGAAGACTCCGGATGCAATGCGATGGTTTCTTTAGAAATTTATCTGGACTTCATTTTAAATAGCGATTGGTGGAGTGAGGCGGGATCTCAAATAAGCTAAGGTCAGTCCGATCTATAAATTTAGTATAATGACACATTCAGAAAACTATCGGCCTGCGTTAGTTCTGCCAGTGCTTTCAAAAATCTTGGAAAAAGTGATTTACAAACGACTGAATGACCACTTGACTGAAATACATTTTTTGCGTGATTAACAATACGTCTTCCGTTCAAAATCAAATATTCTTAGTGCAGCTATTGACTAAACTACTAAAATAAAAACTAAAATAAACCAAAATCAGCTAGCACCAGGTGTGTTCATTGACTTAAAAAAGGCCTTTGACACAGTAAGTCACACGTTGCTACTAAAAAAGTTAGAAAGTATTAGTGTAACTGACACGGCACTGCAGATGTTAAAATCTTACACTGGAAATAGATACCAGGTTGTAAGCATTGGAAATTATCAAAGCAATTCCTTACCTATAAATTGTGGAGTACTACAAGGTTTGATTCATGGCCCGCTATTGTTATTAGTGTATGTTAAAAATATTTGTGAAGTAGACTTACACGGTCATCTCACTCTGTATGCAGACGACACATGTTTATTCTACAGAATATAGATGAGCTTAATTTGCTTGCTCAGTAAGATTTCAACACACTACACAAAAGGTTCCAGTACAACCAATATATAGCAAAAAAAAAATAGCGCCAAAACATCTTACACAAAATTTAATGCAAAAAACGAAAAGTCCATCACCACACAAAGTTACACATTAAAGGAGAAATATTATGCCAATCTTATTACTTGACTAAATATACCTTCAAATACCTTGGTCTATTGCTTGATAATCATCTGTCATGGAACGGTCATTTATCGGTTATAAAAAATAAGCTTTCATCTCTAATAGGTCCTACATACGGCAAGGCTCGACGTATACCACCCAAAGCTCACCCTTTGATCTATAACACAATGGTTAAACAACACATACTTTACTTTATAGAGATAGGGGGTACAGCAGCCAAAACTTTACTACAAAAGGTACAAGTACTGCAAAATAAATTAATTAAAATTGTATATCATTATGACTTTTTAACTTCCACCATAAAAATATACCATGAAACAAAATGACTAAACATCAAACAATTATACATCTATAACACATGTATATTAATATATAAAATAACACATAAACTTGCAACTTCAATTTAATTTTGATCTACCATAATTTATTTTTACTATTTTGTTCTAAGTGACTCATTTTAAATTGTAAGAATGTAGTCATGTAAGTGACATAAGTCTTAATGAGAAAATAAAGATCTTTAAACTGAATTATCAAACAGCTCGGTCGATGCAAATTCATCTACCATCTTATGCATCTAATCGACTAATCCATTCCACCATCAATCGATGCCACCGATCGACGATCTATGGATTAGTGTGGTAACACCCTTGCAGGGATAATCGTAGTAGGTTAATGCAATTTTAATAACGATAGAACATCTATAGGTAAGGCCACGTCCAGATAGTGTGACCACATCGTGTTATTCGAGTAGCAGGTGACGTACAATAAATCCGAAATGTTTTACTTTTATCAAGAGTTTTCTTTCATATATTTATGTTACTAGGTAGATGTGAGTGCAAATATGCAGCTCTTTCTTTAATTAATAATTGTTTTTTACAACCGAACAATATACTGATAAGTGAAGCTAGGTTTGAACAGAGGTCAAAGTCGTGATCACCAAAAAGTATATAACCAGTTCGTTTTAGTGACTACTAAAAATTGTTACGCGATAGCTGCCCGTGCCGCAGGTATGTAAATTTTCCCGTTTCATAATTTAAGATTTTACGGGCTTTTTTCTTGTTTAATTTCTGACAAGCATTACGTGAACAGAATCATATCACGATACCTAAAAGCACCGTCATGTATTAGACAGGGTAGAGATAAATACAAATTGACATGAAAGTAGTCCAAAATGCAGAAATAATGTCAATATGTGAGATATTGACATTTAAATATTTTAATAATGTTAATTTTAATTACACTGTAAACTCTACATAGTGACACCAGAAGAGACTGCGCATTTTGTGGCATTAATGAGAGATTTACTTAAATGAAGAGAACAAAAATAACATTATTTTATCATTATAATATTATCCACAAATATAGTACAAACAACAATCATTAATATTGATACAAATAACAACGCTTATTACGTATAGTCTATTATCTTCGTCTG